ACACATGTTCATAACAATTGAAAAGCAAATTAAAATAAACATGGAAATGAAACGAGGGAAGAAAAAACTCTGAAAATCTCCAATGGATGTTGATTGCTTGCGGCACAAGGTCCTCTTTCTCCTATGGAAGCCACGGCAACCTCCTTCTTCTCCCAAGGTTGCGGCAAAGGTGGTTTTCTGAATATATGATGGGTGATGTGTGTGAATCAATGAATTGATGAATGGAAGGATGTATGGCTATGCGTGGGGGTGTAAGGGGGATGCGGCAAAACTTAGATATGTATATATAGTGCACGGCAAACCCTAGGAAATCAGAATTAGGGTTAGAACTTAGTAGAAACAAAGGATTATGGCCCTTAGGGTGCAGCACAAGGCTTGGGAAATAAGTCATAGCCCAATTAATTTCTGATATGGACTTATACAATCCAAATCCACAAGGAAAAAGGGCCAATTCAAATTAGAATCCAAGAGGAAAAAGGTTAGGGAAATTCGCCAAAAATTAGGCCTTCTAGAAACTATGTGGTTTGTGGCAGATTTTGGTACTTCTAGAAGGAATAAAGGGGGAAGGGTGCGCGCGGCACCCTTTTAGGAGCAGATAAGGCTTCTAGAAATCATGTATTTAGGTCCCCTTGCAGCTGGAAATAAGGTGGAACAAGATTAGGTTAGGATAAGATAGGATAAAGTTTGGATAAGATAAGGTTGTTAGGATAAGTTTCCATATTTCTTGCTCTTTCCTTATCTTCTTTGTCTTAAACTTGTTTCTCCAGATTTGTTGCATGTTCCTACCCTTTTTTTACTCCAAATTCGTCCATCCACCTTGCTCCATATGCAAGCTATCCATATAAGCCCAAAACTGCCCTAAAAGGCTCAAAATTGCCTTTTCTTGCCAACTTTGTCATTAGGACCTACAAACACACAAAAATAGCTTAAAACACTATAATAAGTAGTAATTCACTAACTAAATGCAAGGAAACAACATAACTAAGTAGCATAAATATGCTCCTATCACTCATCCACTATTCCGTTTCTAATCTCATCCCAAAGCTCTTCAATACGCCTTTTGGAATTCGGTTTCGTAGTCTTCTTCCATAAACCCAGACGATACCGAGTCCCTTTCAATTTTTCACTTACTTGAAATGCGAAGGAACCCACTACCGATTCCTTCCAAGCAGCAGAAATAATCTCTCGACATTCCGACTTCTTCCCCCCATCGAGAATCATAGAAGAAATGCCGTGACCCTTTCAAAGAGGCTCCGTTAGAAGCCAGAATTAACATAGAGTGATTAGATCCCTCCAACACCACATGCTTAATTTTCACATCAAGGAACAAATTCACCCATCCCAAGGTCGCCACCCTACAATCGAGCCTTTGTTGAATCAAACCATCATCCTGCTTATTCCTCCAAGTAAAGGGATAACTTTCAAAACCCAAATCAAGGAGCTCATTATTCGCCAAAAAATCCCAAAAGTCGCTCGTACTCACCATGGAACGATAGTTCCCTCCTTCCTTCTCTTCGTCATCCATAATATCATTGAAGTCTCCAATCACCATGCAATTCCCCTATGAGCTACTGATCCACTTACTTAGCTTAGCCCATTGTCGCTTCCGTCTTTTATCATCCGTACTTGCATAGACTGCTGTCATCTTCCATTCCGGCTGAATCAGATCACTACCCACCCCCAATTCAATGTAAAAACTACTCCAAACAATGCTAGAGATATTCGCCACATCTTTCCAAAAAACACACAAACCTCCACCAATACCTTTTGGTTCCACCGGTTGCATAAAATCCATTTGCAACAACTTAAGTAAATATTTGTAGCGATTGCTTTTATTTTTTGTTTCCAACAAGATCAGTACGTTGGGTTTGTGGAGCCGCACCTGCTCCACCAGGGCATCAACTGTCAAGGAACCCCAAATTCCTTGACAGTTCCAGCATAATGTTTTCATGGCGACCGTGGAGACCCATCACGGCTGGTCTCCTCCGCCTCAGTAAAATAAAAGCTCGCTTATTAGGAATACAAGTATCATCCGTACCCATCCCCTCTATTTCCTCCCCTACTTCCTCAATTCTCCTTTTTTGACGCCTACCTTCTCGACTTATAGAATCAATAATGGGTCCCAATTCAAATGGATCCGAGTCCTGAGTCCAGTTGGTGAGGTTCTGCTTTAGCCCTGGCAATGCAATCGTGTGGCCCATTTGGTATGGGCGTACGTTGTTAAGCATGGTGGGAGATTTGACTGGGATGAGTTAGGACCAGAATTTCTTTTTAATATTCTAGCAGAAGATGCAAATGTAACTGTGCATATTTAAGTCTAATAAATTTCCTATCTTTCGTCAAAAAAAAAAAAAAAGGAATTCTTAATAAGAATTTGAAGCCTCCAAGGCATTGTACGTTTTGCATGTAATACTCTCCATCACAAGTTAATTTTTGTTCACTTTAATCCGTATTCGTTTACACCATTATTCATAAATCCAAACAAGTCATTCCTCGAGGATTCTAACTACATTCAACCAATGAAATAGTTGTGAGTACAAGTTGTGCACTATATGAACATCATAAGAATTTCTACTACTAAATTAACAACAATTGGATCTTATCATGATTGCGAATTTTCTCAACTAGTTAAGTTGGCCATTAGCCAACTTCTTATCATGTTAAATCAAGTTTCTTCTTATTCAGCATTAAATTAAAGAGGGGGAGCACATCCGTTCTGATCAAGTTGTTATGTCATTTTCAGAATGAGACAGAAGTTTTGATTAGCATTTTCATTCAATTATTTTGCCTTTTTTCTTTCTTTCGAGTTTACCTCTTGTATGTAGTTTGCTACAAGTGGTGATTTTCTTCTTATCACTATCATTATAACCTAAACAAATTCCACAAGTTTCATGAGATTCTATGGTGATCAATAAGCATGAAGGTTTAGTTTGGGCCCTTGCAGTATCATCACGCACTATAAATCGACCACCAACTCTCTGTCTCTCTCTTCTTTCACAATAGTAAGTTACAAAAGGAGCCTGTGAATTTTACTTCTTTTAGGAAACAAACATCCTCACGAAACCCATGCACCATAAATAATCAGTATTATCTCTAGAGAAGAAGGAAAACAAAAAACAAAAGCCAAACCTTCTTCTTTCCCTTTGAAAAAAATTATATTTAGAAGCCATTTAACAAACCCACCAATTCTTGCAAGCCATTTTTTGACAATGTCTGCAACAACAATATCACATTTTGAAGAGAAACCAACTGAGAAAGCCTCTCAAAAATGGCCAGGCAACTTCTTCAAAGTGATGCTTTTGGAGCTGAAAGTACAAAGGGGAATAGCTCTTCCTCTTGTGGCTGTGAACTTGACATGTTTGCCAAGATAGCCATCACAACAGCTTTTCTCGGCAGGCTCGGGGAGCTCCAACTGGCTGGTGGTACGCTTGGCTTCACTTTCGCTAATGTCACCGGCTTCTCAGTTTTAAACGGGCTCTGTGCTGCCATGGAACCTATTTGTGGTCAAGCTTTTGGAGCTAAAAATATCAAGCTCCTCCACAAAGCCCTTCTCATGGTAACTTTCTTGCTGCTTCTCGTGATGCTTCCTATTTCGTTCTTGTGGCACAACGTTGACAAAATCCTCATCCATTTCGGCCAGCAAGAAGACATTTCATTGGTGGCAAAGACGTACCTGTTTTATCTCCTGCCAGACTTGGTAGTTACTTCACTCTTATGTCCCATCAAGGCCTACTGGAATTCACAAGGCATCACAGTGCCTTCAATGTTCTGCTTGGGTCCAGCGCTTGCTTTTTACGTACCTGTTAACATCTTGCTTGTGAAAGCCAAGGGTCTCGATGGAGTTGCAATGTCTGTGCGGATCACTGATCTCATGGTTTTGATTCTACTTGTGGTGTATGTGTGTGTGATTGAAATTAAGGCAAAGGAAGGAGGTGGAACGAAGGGGGATGGCTTGATCAATGTGTCAGTGATTGGAAAAGGCTGCTCAAGCTTTGTGGACCTTGCTGCCTCACTACCTGCCTTGAATGGTGGTGCTATGAGATTCTGATGTTGCTAACAGTCCGGCTTTAGAAGGCCAAGCAGTCGGTAGGAGTTTAGCCATTGTATTAAACTTCGACTATCTACTATACTCAGTGATGCTTTCTCTGGCAACATGTGCATCAACACGCGCCTGCAACAAGCTTGGAGCAAACAGAGCAGGCCCTGCTTATCAGTCTGCATTTATGTCTGTTGTAGTGAGTGTGGTCTCGGGTTTCTTGGGCGGTTTGGTGATGTTAGCAGCCAGAGGAAGTTGGGGGTCTTTGTTCACCCACGACACGTGAATTTTAGGAGGCGTGAATAAGATGATGCCGCTGATGGCCTTAGTGGAGGTGGCGAATTTCCCTATAGCAAAGTGTGGAGGAATTGTCCGGGGAACAGCGCGGCCGTGGTTAGTCATGTGTGCAAATCTTGGTGGGTTTTACCTCCTGGCCTTGCCCTTAGGAGTTGTTTTAGCCTTCAAGGTTTCACTTGGGCTCAGAGGATTGTTGGGAGGGTTCTTAATTGGGATGGTTGCATGCTTAATTCTGTTGATAATTTTTGTTTTGAGGATCAATTGGAAGAAGAAGCTTGCAAGGAACAAACACTTACCTCGGTTGGTTGTCAAACACCAGAACTTAACAGAGATGGAAATCACAAAACTGTGGAGAGGGTTGATGATGCTGAAGTCTAAGAAATGAAGAATAACCTGAGAGAGGTCATCTCATCCCGGTAAAACTGGAACAGGTAACCGGCTTTCGGATCACCAACCATGAAACCATGACTCCGAAAGCTGGTTCTAGCAATTTTTTTTCTGTTTTTTTTTCAAAAGAGTAACTTTCTGTTAACTTCTGTATTTTGTGGGGTTATTTCTTCCTCATGAGTCCATATGTCAAATTGTAAGATAAACATCCCCTGGCATAAAAAGTGCGCAATTTATATGCAGTCAAGATATTGTTAGAGAGCAAGAGGCCACTGTGGCGTTGAAAATGCATATGAGGACGATCCAATTTCATGGCGGAAAGAATCCGGCTAACTCGCATGACATTCCGTATGAATAAACTTTTCTCCAATTTGCAAAATTAAACAAGAACAAATTCATTGTACAGGGATGAATTTGCAATACCATTAACATCGTTGTTCCCTCTTTGATAAAGAAATTTGCATCACAGATCGATCAATGAACACTAATCGAAGATATTATCCGTCGATGAATCCAGGTTTAGTACTTAAAGACTCCAGCTCCTTCGCTTTTTCTTCATTGAAGCCAAGGCCTGCCAATAACTTGTGACCCGGAGATTCCCCTTCATACCAAATGCCAAGAAGCAGATGAGAAGTTGTAATTTCCCCACTATTACCTGCAGTTCATATGTTAAGAAATTAAATCACGTAGACTTCATAGCGGACGAATACAAGTGGATAATTCTGATAAGAAAAAATGGTTATGTGCCCTTGGAGATCAACCAAACAATTCCGCAAGAGTACACGGCAAAAGTAGCAACACAATCTGCATTTCAGATAGGTCTTTTCTAGTTTGCAGTTGAGAATCACATAAAACAATATTTTAGATTTCGTTAATCATTCATTGAAACCATTAAATCTGATATTCCCCTATCTCACAAAGAACACATACAACTACTTTTCAAACTCCAAACGAGATATGTCTGTTGATAGGGTTTTACATGGCATTGGAATATAAAAAAAAATCCATCATTGTCGAAGAAATAAAAATTAACCACCACCAAAAAATATAAAAAAGAATTTCCAAAGAATAAAAAAAAATTTATGAATAAGAAAGCCTGGAAACTTACCAGATTTTTTCTTTTTATCAACAGCCCAATCAAGTACTCTTTGAGCTTCCTCAGTCAATGCTGGATGCTCAGGACTGAAAAACCACATGTCAGCTTTCCCGAGCAACTTGATTGTTTCTTCACGCACCTTAGTAAGTGTAATTCCATTTACCCGTAAAAATTTTGCCGCCAGACTAGTTCCTGCAGCTCAAAGCAAAGACGGCTAAGTATACTACATAATCCCTTCGGCGTATGTATGTGATAGGATCAGATACTCATAAGATTGTTGTCTTTTCTTGGTAAAGATGATAACAGTCTAAGTATCTTATATTTGCATTCCCGCTTAGCTTTTAATTGTTTTGGATCATACCTTCACTAATTTCACAATCACAAGTGATTATTGTGCATAAATTATAACCGTAGAAGCGTGCACACAACTACACGAGGCCCTTCTAACCACCACAATTTGCTAACTGAGCTTCAACATATGCAGTTCACATTATTGTCATCCACATTCCAAACTATATTATATCCTGCAACCATCGAAATTTCAAATTTTGCAGTTCTAGTTTTACGAATATTAGTCCTGTAATTCTATTGATTGTTTAACTCCACCTCAAAGTGTGATTCAACGTGATCGAAAATGGAATCACGACATAATTATAGCAGCAGTAACACAAATTATATGAAGATGATCACAGAAAAAACATTCAAAAAAAATAAAGTTACTTACCCTCAATGGTAAAAAGCATAGAATGGTAAAAAATTGCTTACCCTCAATGAGGATCCCCATGAGAATTGCTTCAGTCCCGGTAGTTGCAAACTTGAGCTTCCTGGCTTCTAATTCACCCATGGCAAATGACTTTATAGCCCTCCAAGACCACCTGCATCCACCCATCCAGTACCAAAACCTCAATCCCAACAATACCCAGAAACCAAAACCAAAAACCCACCAAAAAAATCAAACAAAAAAACTCACTTGGGCACTTTCTCAGTGGAAGAAACTATTCCCGCATTTCTGCAACGACCAAATCAGAAGCATCTGAAACAACAGCTTGGTCATCCAAAACGTGAAGAAATGTAAAATTGAAAATTCGAGAGAATTAGGGCGGTGGAGGTGTGAGAGAGTAGGACTTACGCGGTGGGGAGGCTGAGACAGACGGTGGCTGAGAAAGGGCGGAGCTTTGACTCTTGGGTTCTGACTCTCAGACTTGAGGGCGGAAGCGAGAGGCTGTTGGCACCCAGCCATGGGCTCAGCAAACTGTTGGGTCTTGAATCGGGTTTAGTTCTGTGATTGGGGATGAGGGCGGAGATGGTCGTTGGAAGCTTGGAGAGGAGTGAGCGGCCATTTGTGGAACAATATGGTGCTTCAGCGTTCAATTGGATAGGTGGAAGGATATGAGATAGGATGAAGAACAGGGCGTCGTTCCCTGTGGTTGTATATGGATTGGGCTGGCCTTCAACCCAAAGTTCACTTGCAATTGGGCCTTTCGTACTGTGGGTTGGGTGTGCACAGTCCGGATTCGATTGGTTTTACATCGAAACTACAAGTAATAGCTCATTTAAGAAATTCTTTTAAACAACACAAAAAGTTTTTAGAAAAAAATATTTTTGGAATCAATTCTTAGTAGAAATGCAAATTAATCCTAGAAAAGCACTTGAAATGCTTCAAACAAGAAGCAGGTAACTGATGCTGCTTGAAACTCAAAAACATTTGCTTTAAAAACGTTTGGGAAATTTTATTTAAACCCATTTAAACTCTTTTTACACCCAACTTAAAATTTAAATGTTAATTGTCTATTTTACCCTATTGTATAATTAATATTAAGTACAAAATGAAATTAATAATAAAACTCAAATTTATCAATAAACCCAAACACTATAATTAAACCCTACGATCACTCTTTGTTTATTCTACGTTCGTTCTGGCTAAAACCTTAATAGCTTTCACAGAGAAAAATAAGTTTTCTTTTATTGATGGATGGTAATTTTGAAGTTTTGAATCCTCCAATCAAGGTATGACTCAATTTATGAATTTTTTGTTCATTTGATTTCAATTTTTTAGACTGTAGAAGTTATTTACTGTAATTTTTTTCAACAAATACAACGAAAGCATCCTACCTTCCGGCTAAAACAACAACGAAAGCATCCAACAATGAAAAATGTTTGGTGTGAAAGGACCCAATAACTGGTTGAATTGCCCATAAGTGGACTCCTCGTTCGCTACTTTTATACTGATTGTTTTAATTGAAAGTTCAGTTTCTTAAGGCATTTGTAATGTTAAAATATGCTCAAATCCAGCACACTAATGATGCATGAATGAAATCGTTAATTGAGCAAACACAAGAAATCAACAAGCTTCTCTATTTTAGAAGTTTCATTTGTATACAATTTACACTGGTACGTTATAGGGCTTGTGTTAATGAGGTGAAAATTGTGCGAGTTGACACATTCTCAACAAGTCTAAGTGCACTTAAAACCCGTTAAATGAGACACCAGTTGAATTTCTATTGAAGCACTTAAAGCCTCTATCACTAGAAGCAAACCAAGTAATAACTTTTCCCTTATGTCGATCAGTCTTTGCTTGGTGCTTTAAAAGAAGATGTGTCTCTTCAAGAAGTTAAAGATAGTTTCTTTTCTATTGGTGCTTTTAAGGCTCCTGGGCCAAATGGTTACCTTGCTGCATTTGTTCAAAATTTTTGGGGGTTATGTAGCTTTGACATCCTTTGTCTTATTACTGAGTGTTTTAAGAAGGGCTCTATTCCAAATGGTCTTGGTAGTACCTTAATCACTCTTGTTCCTAAGGTTGATGGCCCTCAAGATATTTCCCAATTTCGTCCTATAAGTTTGTGTTCTACTTTGTATAAGGTAGTGACCAAGATTCTTGTTAACAGATTGAGACCTATTATGAAATCCATTATTAGCCCTAATCAAGTTAGTTTCATCCCTGGAAGACATATTACTGATAACATTATAATTGCACAAGAAGTTTTGCATACGTTTTCCATCACTGGAAGGGCTAGAGCTATATGGCTTGGAAAATTGATTTATCTAAAGCCTATGACAGACTTAGATGGGATTTTATAAGGGAAGTGCTTGTTGAAGTGGGTATTGATGATTTGACTGTCAAGCTTATTATGGATTGTGTACGTAAAGTGGATTACAAGATTTTAGTTAATGGGGAATGCTCAACCAGTTTTAGGCCGGAGAGAGGTGTTAGGCAAGGTGATCCTCTCTCTCTATATCTTTTTGTATTATGTACGGAGAAGTTAGGGCATCTTATCAGTGAAGCTGTCTCTAATAAATGTTGGAAGCCTGTCAAAGTGGCTAAAAGGGGGCCTGCCATTTTGCATTTTTTTTGCAGATGATATTATTCTCTTTAGCGAGGCTTCTATTTCTCAAGCTAAAGTGGTTAAACGTTGTTTGGACACTTTTTTGTCGTTTGTCTAGGCAACAAATTAGCTTTGAGAAGTCTCAAATTTTTTGCTCTTCTAGTGTGGATAGCAGTGTTGCTGATCTAATTAATGAAATTTGTGGCTCTCCAATTGTTCAGGAGTTGGGAAAGTATCTAGGTGTGCCTTTAGTTCATTCTAGAATTAATTCTAGCACCTATATAGAGGTTGTTAACAAGGTTCAGAGTAGACTCTCTGCATGGAAAGCCAACACTTTATCTCTTGCTGGAAGAACTACTCTTAGTCAAGCAGTTACTTCAGCTATTCCAGTTTATGTGATACAGACAGATAAGCTTCCAGTTAGCACTTATGATTTACTTGATGGATTGAATAGGAAATTTTTGTGGGATTCTTCTGAAGTCAAAAGTAAAACTTATTTGGTTAGATGGAGTTCTGATTGTCTTCCGAAGAACAAAGGTAGATGGGGTCTTAAGAGAATGAAGTAGATGAATGCTGCTCTTTTGGCCAAGTCCAGTTGGCGTTTGTTACAACTGGATAATGGTCTTTAGGCTAGTAATTTCAAAGGTAATTATAAGTGGGGTGAATTCCGATATTCTCAAATGACCAACTAGTAAGGTAGCTTCTAGCTCTTCGAGGGTTGTGGTGTATGGTGGTCAATTGTTGAAAAATGGTCTTATTTGAGGGTTGGCTCAGGTGCTAATATTAGTTTTTGGTTTAATGCCTGGCTTGATAATGACATTCTCGCTGATAAGGCCTTGATTCCTTTGGATGATTCTGCTAAAGCTTTAAAGGTTATAGACTTTTGCTATGGCAATTGTTGGAATGTTTCTACCTTGAGAGCTATTCTTCCTGAGGAATATGTTTGGAAGATTTCTGCGATTCCTATTGGTCTTAACGATGGAGATAGTGATTGTATTATTTGGAAGCATTCAAATGATGGAAATTTTAGCGTTAAATCAGCTTATCTTGTAAGTATTGATGATGAAGTTTTTGCCGATTGGAGTTGGAGTGATACGTGGAAGCTTAAGCTACCTCCTCAAGTGCTTCATTTTTTATGGCTGACTCTGCATAGGAGATTGCTTTGCAATGAACAGATAGCTAAGAAAGGTATGACTGATAATTCCTATTATGACTTTGGTGATGGTTGTGTTGAATCTATTGATCATATTCTTCGTCGGTGTGATCGTGCAAAGTTAATGTGGAATCAATTGGGTATGCATTCAATTATTTTGTCGTTGGTTGATATTGACTTTCATGATTGGATGAGAGTGAATCTTTTTTCAAGACGTTTGCTCTGCCATAATCTACCTTGGTGGGGTATTTTTGCCTTTGCTTGTTGGTGGTTATGGAAATGGAGGAATTTAAGCATTTTTGCATCTAATTCATTTTCCCAATTCAACCTCAGATTTTCATTTTTAAAGCTGCTCAAGAACGGTTTAAGGTGCAAAATGTTGGTGCTAAGCCTGTGAAAAGTATGATTTTTTTAGCCTGGGATCCTCCTCCTCCTAATTATGTCAAGTTGAATGTGGATGGCAGTAGGAAGAGTGGCAAGGGGTGCTCTAGTGCTGGTGGGATTTTACGTGCTGCTGCATGTGTGTGGATTGCTGGTTTCACTATAAATATTAGTGTGGGGAATGTGTTTAATGCTGAGTTATGGGGTCTTTTTCATGGTCTGTCTCTTGCTTGAAGATTGAGTTATAGAAAAGTGCTTGTTGAATTGGACTCCGCTATGGCCGTTACTTTGGTAATGGATTTTAATTCCTCTATGCACCCTCTTGCTCGTCTCATTACTACTTGTCGGGAGTTATTAAGCAGGGATTGGATTTGCTCGGTTTCTCATGTTTATTATGAGAAGAATAGAGTGGCTGATGGTATGACAGATTTAGGCCTTAAGTTTGACATTGATCTTCATGTTTTTTATGAGCCTCCTCCTTTTGTGGATCAGTTGATCTTTGTGGATGCTGTTGGGTTTCCTCATACCCACTTTGTTAATAGTTAGTTGTTTGTCTTGGGTCTTTTGACTCCCAATTTTAACAAAAATAAAAAAGATTTTTTTCCAAAATATATCTACATTACGACTTATAAATGATACTAATAGTCTTAATTCCAAAGATTGATAACTCGGATATGGTTTGTAATTATAGACCTATTAGTTTGTGTAATGTCAATTATAAAATTATCACTAAGATCATCATTAAATGATTAAAACCTCTACTGGATTTTTGCATTTTTCTCAAAACCAAGGGGCTTTTGCTCCTAGTAGAGCTATCCAGGACAACACTCTTATTACTCATGAAATGTTTACAAGGTTTAACAGAATGAAGGGATATGATTTTCTAAATTGGGATTATATTAGATACGTCTTTCTTAGATTTGGTTTTGATATCAAGTGGGTCTCTTTAATTATGGAATGCATCACCTCTACCTCTTTTTTCAATTTTAATCAATGGATGTGCTCATGGTTACTTTTTTTTCCCCAAACAAGGTATTAGGCAAAGGGATCCCCTTTCGCCTTACATTTTCATCATGTGCATGGAACCTTTAATTAGGCATCTTAATATGATGGCTAATGGTGCTAAATCCCACGTTGGTATCTTATCGTCTCCCTGGGGCCTTAGAATCTCAAATTTAGTTTTTGCTGATGATTGCTTGCTTTTTGCTAAGGCTACCCCCAAGGGTGCAAGAAATATTCTCTTTATTTTGAACTTGTTTGCTAAGGTGGATACGCAAAATATTAACTTCTATAAGTCTTCCCTTTATTTTTTAAATAATACTAACTCACATGTTAGAAATAATATTGTTAATATTTTACAAATCCAACACAAAACTACTATTGGTAAGTACCTTGGTATTCATAACATTGTAGCTTGGAAAGATCAAGTAAATGGGAATGGGCTGTTAAAAAGGGTTAAGCAGAAGCTTGCAGGCTGAAAGGCAAACACCCTTTCTAAGGCAGGTAGACTTACTCTTATTAACTCAAAACTTACAAGTATGCCTAACCATGTCATGTCTTGTTTTAAATGCCCGAATAAAATTTTGAATAAGCTAAAAAAGCAGTGCAATAATTTCTTTTGGGGTAGGGATAAGAACATTTTTATGTTGCTTGGGATAGAGTGTGTACTTCAAAGAAATTCGGTGGCCTTGGAGTTAGGTGTCTGAATCAATTTAATAATGCTTGTCTAGCTAAGTGGGTTGGAAGGTTCTAATAGATGAGAATAATTTGTGGGTCAGGTTGGTTAAGAGTAAGTACCTTCAAGAGGAGGATTTTTTTAGGAAATAAAGTTAGACAAAATTGTTCTCTGGCTTGGAAGAACATTTTGAAGAGCAGGGATGTCATTTTTAAGGGTGGCCAGGACATATTGTTCCTGGACCCACAATTGGGTTTTTCCTTATCCTCTCTTCCATCTCAGTACTGATATTGATTCTCAAAATATTATTTGGAACTTGAGAGTGAGTGATTTTAATGTTAGTAATTGTTGGGATAAGGAGAACTGGTCCAAGTAGTCTGTAATAACGTGACAAAAAACTATGCAATATTCCAATTCCTATTCTTAACACCAAAGATAAGATCATTTGGGGTTCTACCATTAGCGGTAAATTTTTCATTAAATCGGCGACTTGGATCCAGAGTGGCTCTCTGGTGCAATCATTTAGACATAGGTGATCAATAAAATGTGTAAGCTCAATATCCCTCCCAAAGTTAAAATGTTTGCTTGGTTGTTTATTAGAGAAAGACTACAAACGAGGAAAAGACTGAGTTGTTCTTTGCCTAATAATGATAGTTTATGTCCCTTTTGCAATATGGATAAGGAGAACCAATTGCATTTATTTGTTAAATGTAGTGTTTCTCATCTCGTTTGGAACTTGGTTTCTAATGCTGCTAACATTGTTAATACTAATAACTTTGCTTCTATTGTTGAGTGGATGGATTCTCTAAATCAAGTGGATAAGGAAGGTCTGAGTGAGCTCAGTTTGTTTTTATTGTTATGTTGCCAAATTTGGAATGATAGAAATAATAAGGTTTTCAGAAGAGTTATGTCTACTCCGTGGAGATCTAAATTCTTAGCTCTGTCTTTTGGTGAAAGATATTTTAACTACAACAAAAAGTATATTAAGAAGAGTTCCCATGAAGAATTGACAATTATTAAATGGCATCCACCATATAAGGATTTTGTTAAGTTAAATTTTGATGGTTCCGTAGCATGTGGCAAAGCAGCGGCTAACTTTGCCATCAGGGAGCATAATGGAGTTCTTATTATTGGTAGGGCTTTAA